AACACTTGTGATTGTTGCATGTAGATTTGTCAACACACATATAATTGCTGAGCTTCTCAGCAGTTGCGCACGTGATGTCAATAAATTGTGCATAATAATAAGTAAATTATACTCAAATATTACGTATACGCATTTGCAGTTCTTCAACCAATCAGAAGCTAACTTATCGGCCTTCTTATCAGAATTGTTGTATTTAATTCAAGCAAATTGCATTTCTGTTAAATTTTAGTGCACATTTTTATGGCGTGAATAGATTTGTATCAGCTAAAAAGTCTAGCTATAAATTGTTTTTTACTACCTGTTTGTAAGGGTAGTAAAACTTTTAACGACTCTCCTAATATATCTTTAATTTGGCCCAGATCGCGAATATAAAATGCTAAGAGCTTGTTGTAAGTTGTTAAATTTTTCATATTTGTATAGTTAATATTCACATTTTGAATATGTTTCAAATTATATATAACATTCTACAATGTCTTTCCACTCTTTATGTTTCTTTAAACCGGCTTTTGCACTACGTGTCACCTGTGCCCTGAGACAAATAATCGCGTTTTCTTATACAATTTCTTTCATGTTAAGCATAAACTAATTAGAAAACAAACAAACAAAATGTGGATACCGCTAAACGCGTTAGTTTTAGTTATTATTCAAGTGCATGTAAATACTAAAAAGCATTTCGCGCAATATTAAATAACCACAAATAGAATTTGTTATGTAACAGGCATCGAGCATAGGCATAGGACCGATTGATATTGGGATCGATTAATTTGGTTTATATTCAGTCGAAAATGCCATCTAGTTTCCTTTATTATTCACATTAACAAAAAATTTTCCATTAGACAAATACTTATTCCATAAACTGTTCACTAAAAACATTTTGTTTATTACTTAAAACATGATTTACATTTTATATTAATTTATTCATACTTCCAAGCAGGGCATACACTAGTCGCATACTCTGCTTTGCTCCCATTTCGCAGTGCATTGTTTACCTTTGGGCTTTACTCAAGCAATCGTCTCGCATACTAAAACACAACACACGCATACAAGTGTGAAACTCACCTTCCCACCACGCGCTTGGCCTATTGCAAGAGCTGACCGTTACGCCTTCGCACGCCTACATTACGCAAAACCGATGTGCGCCATCGCAAGCGCCCGCCACTTGCCACATTTATCGCAGCTTTGCAGCTTTGTCGCACGATTCGCATTAGCGTCGGCAACGGCGTCGGCGCCGGCGTCATCGTCGACGTCAAGGACAGCGTCGTGGCCCTCTTCGCATTGCATTGAACTTGAACGAGGGTTGGCTGGCGCACTGGTGAAATTGCAATTGCTGACGCTAGGGGGCGTGTTTATGTTCCAGTTCCCACTCGCAGCTTAATGCGTGTGCAGCAGCAGCCGCTCACTCAAAGCTCAATGCGACACTCACTCAATTTCCGAGTTGAGTTTAAAGCGCCTCCGGGCTATGCAGCGGAATTTTCAATTAGCTGTCGCGGCTTTTTGGGACTTTCCCATCACCCACCCCCTCGCTAAAAGGAGTGCATAAATTATTTGCTTAACATTTGAATATTGCATGCGCTGCGTCGCCTGCTGACGTCAGTGCAGCAACAACATGCAATGCGGAAATGCTTTCAACTTTAAACTTTGCCGCTAAAATTAGCCCAAACTAAAAAAAGCAGCTGCAAAATAAACACAAATTCAGTTTGCAGCTAGTTCGTTTTTTTTTCTTGCCGCTGTTGACTTTTGGCTTTGCTGCAAATGTGTTGCATACTTTGTGGCGTTTGCTTTGGGTTTGTTTTTGTCTGTCAAAATTTAGCGCCTGCCGCTAATCAAAATATGCGAAAGCTACGCTGTCTGTATATGTGTGTGTGTGTGGGCTTGTTGTTTTGTGTGTGTGTTGCGTGTCTTGTTGTGTGTTTGGTTTTATGTTTTGCGACCGTTTCCGGCGACATTTTCAACTCGATTAGAAATGCAAATGGCATTCGCTTGACAGTCGCACGTGGGGGCAATGCGGCGGGGCGCATGGCTTATCAATTACAGGCTACAGGCACAGTGCCAAAGTCGCAGACAGGTTCACAGTCAACGCCACATACTTGCCACAACTCGTTGCGGCTGGGCATTTCAAGGACATGTACAGGAAAATGCATATGAATATATGCACTTGGCATTTAATATACAATGCGAGGGCTGTTCAAAACTTATTCAACTCACATAGTTCAACTTATTAAGCGAAGAGTGGCTGCTCTTAATGTTAAACTGTGTGAGATAATTAATTCGCTCACATCATACACAACATTGGCAATGATGCTTTTGATCCCGTTATGTGTGTGAAGTGCCAGAGTTAATTCCTTTGGCCACAGCGCTGCATGCCATTGGTCGCATTGCTTTTGATCCCGTTATCTTAGCTGAGAGCGCATCCAGCGCAGCGCAGCGAGCAGCAGTTCTTTGCTCTTTGTATTAGTGTGCATGCCGGCTGAGCGGTGGCGCCAGCTTAATGAGGAAATTTAGTCAGTGCGCGTCTGTCCTGTTGATCGGTCGTGTCCTCTGCGCGTGTGTATTAAATTGTTAGCTGGCAAAGCTAGCAATGTTTAAAAGTTATTAAAATTAGCTGTGTGTAATTTTAAACTGCATTAGATATATATTTGACATATATATAGTTGAGAAATGTCTAAATACTTGTATTTCAATATGTGTAACTGGGTTTTTTCGCCGACAACAAATTGGCGCGCATATCAGCGCAATTCACCTCCAGCAAAAGAGAGAGACAGAGAGTGTGTGTGCGTGAGAGCGAACAACAGCTTTGCTTAAGCAGGTAATCGTGCTCTTAAATTTATAACTGAAATATATTTCGGTACTTTTTACTTCCCTTCCCATTTCCCTTTTTATGCCCTAGCTAGGGATATTGCCGATTTCTTAACGAAATGTGTTCCTTTGTTAATATAAAGTAAAGATTTAGATATTTTTTTGTGTTATTAAGTATTTGAGTGCCCCTCGCTTAGTTTTTCTGCCTCGCCCGCCCATGCTAAGTAGAAGCAAAAGCGAAAGCGAAACTGAAGTTTTGCCATTTGGTTTTGCGACGCAGCTGACCAAAGTCACGAAGTGAATGGGTTTGGAATGGGTTGGGCTCTGTGTCGCTTAGAACCTTGCAGCGTGCTGCATTTGCATACCAAGTTCTTGTTCTTCTTCTTGTTGTTGTTGTTGTTGTTGTTATCTGTCGCAGCGGAAATGCAATGCGGCGCTGTTAGCCAGTTTCTGTGGTAGTTTCTTGCCACACTCGCCTCTTGCCACACTTGCTACTTGCTACTTGCCACATGCAGCTCTGGCAACTGGCGAAACGTAGCTCTTGTGTGATTGACACCGCGTTGCACGCAGCTTGCATTTTGATAGCCAACGTTTGTCTACACAGCCCACCCCACCCCCTTCTGTTCCCCACCCTTCCTCAGCCCTTGCAAATGGCAAACAAATTGGTATCTATCATAACATTTATTTGGCTTTTATTTGCGCTGTGCGCCGCGAGCTCATAAAACTAAATTGCATTTTCTTAGATTTTCGCGCATTTTTCTATTTTTTTTTATACATTTCGCATAAATATGTGTGTGTGTGTGTGTGTTGGGAAAATTCTTTTGCGTGCCTGGCACTTGCTGGCACTTGGTTTTGGCTGCAACTTTGGGACTTCGCTTCGATTTACCTCTCCGGGTGCTAATGGCTTGTTATAGCATAAAATCGCGTTATCCTTTGGGTGCACATGTGTGTGTGTGTGTGTGTGTGTGTGTGTGTGTGTGTGTGACAGGCTGTGTTAGTTATTGGTTTTTAATAGCGCGTGCATTTCGATGGCATATCATCAATAACAGGCAAAGGGAATTCAAAGAAGTAAGCGAAAAGCAAATATCAACATATTTGTTAAATTAGTGTGCATGTCAGCGCAAATAGACATATATATATATATATATACATACACATATGTATAAACACACATAATTTGGGTAGAGATTACGCCTTATCTAACAACTTGACTAGAATTGCGCCCAATTCTGACAACTGTTTGCTAAAGTCGAACGTCAAGAAGAAATATTTTGGCCTAGTTTCAAGCAAACTTTTGCTCTATTTACTCACGTTTGATTTGCAAGTCTAACAAGTTGGCTAAAATTCTCCATGTTTGGTTATTTCGTAGTTTAATGTTATTAAAAAGAGAGAGAGAGACAGCTAGATAGAGAGGTAGAGAGAAAGACTGAAAGGGAAAGAGAGGAAGGCAGAAAGAGACAGATATAGAGAGATGTATAGGGAGATGGATAGAGAGATACAAATAGATAGATAGAGAGAAAGACAGAGAGATAAGAAGAAAGACAGGGAGATTGAGAGAGAGACAGACAGATAGAGAGAAAGATAGAGAGAGTCAGAGAGAGTAAGAGAGAAAAGGAGATAGATTGAGAGATAGAGATATGTAGATAGAGATATAGAGAGATGAAGATAGATAGATAGAGAGATAGAGATAGATAGATAGAGATAGAGAGATAGATAGAGAGATAGAGATAGATAGATAGAGAGAGTTTGACAGAGAAAGCTGACAAGGAGAGCGTGTGCGACATAGAGAAAAAGAAATCTCAAATTCTAGCTATTTTGTCGACTTTCAAGCAAATCTCACAACTGTCAAGAGCTCCCCAAATTTTAGTCTAATTTAAAGGCACACAACCTACATATTATTCTCCAAATTAGTTCCTCAGCTAAGCAGGGTCTATAATTAAGCTCTCGCCAGCGCAGTTAATGATTACCTTAACAATTCATGCTCATATTTAACATAATCAAGGCGAATAGAAATGAAAATACGAAGAAAACTTAATGATTTTACATTTTGAATAACAGTTAAAACATGATTTCTTTTGATTTAACAGTTGTAGAGCAGAACTGCGCGCTGTTTTGATATAATTTAAATGTTTATTTGTTTTGCTATAAAAATCTTTTTATTATATTTATAATCTCTTCTTATTTATAAATCTTTTTGCTTGCAGATTGATATTTAATGAAGAATTTCATAGACTGCAGCCGGAATATTGAAGGTAAGTTTCATTTCTCTTTTCATTTGAGATGTATGATAGATGTATGTACATAGGATGTATGATAGATGTATGATAAATGTATGTTAGATGCATGTTATATGTATGTTAGATGTATGTTAGATGTATGTTAGATGTATGCTGGATGAATGTTAGATGTATGTTAGATGTATGTAAGATGTATATAGGATGTATGATAGATGTATGTTAGATGTATGTAGGATGTATGGTAGATGTATGATAGATGTATGATAGATGTATGTTTGATGCATGTTGGATGTATGTTAGATGTATGTTGGATGTATGTAGGATGTACAGTATAAAGTGTTTAGCTCTTAATAGTTAGATGTACATTAAATATAGCCCAATTATATTAAGTTTTTGATATAAGATTTTAAATACTTTACGGTCTCCTTCTATATGTTACACATTTCCTGACAAAATACCCTGTAATACCTTCTTAAAAGGGTATACAAATAGTTATTTAATTTAATTGCACATTTCGAATAAAATTCCCATTTCGGGAGTGACAGAAGTTGAGGCTACGCGTTAAACACATTATGCCGTACTTTTTATTTATAATTACATTTTATTTATAATTAAATTCTATTTATAATTAAATTCTATTTATAATTGAATACGCATCAAGTTAAGTGTCGAGTGCTGTCTCGTAATTCTCGCCAAATCCGCAAAACCAATCAAAATTATTGCATTAATTATGTGCCCAACTTTCGAATAATTTTCATTTCAATAATTAAGTTAGTTAGTTTTGTGTGGGATGTATTTTTTTTTGTGGTGTGAATGCGCAGAGTGTTTGAAAAGGGCTTTACGCCATTTTGTTGTTGTTGTTGTAACTGTTGTTGTTGTTGTAGTTGTTATTGTTGTTGTTGTTGGCCAACTTCCGGTTCAATAGGGCGGCAAGAGAATACACATTTATTCATTTAACGCCTCATTAATTCATCACTTTCAATAAAATTTTACGCTTACATACACACAACAGGTGTGCGTCTGTGTGTGTGTGTGTGTGTGTGTGTGTGTGTGTGTTGCGTTAGATATTAAGCGCAAGTTGTAACAGACAGAGGCGGGCTTCAGTCGCGCTCCATTAGAGGGGGAGCGTGTAATGTAATGCGCCCGCCCAGCTAAATCCTGACGGCCTTAATTAAGCGTGCAATACAGGTGTGTGTGTGTGTGTGTGTGTGTGTGTGTCTGTTTGCGTGTAAAACCCATTGAGTTTCGCATTAATGTATTAACTTTTATGCGCTTTGGCATTGCGGCCAAGTGTAGCATACGCCGAGGCGCAAAAGTTGCAGCTGACTTTGAGATAGAAACAAAAAATAGAGAGAGAAACAACAGAAAAAGCGCATGAAAAACGGCATGAATTGTCAGGCATGCACGTGACCCAAGCAACAATTTGGCTTATATAAGATAATTGCCTGCTTACGCAAAAGCAGAGCGAGGGGATGAGAGGGGGGGAGTGGGGGAGGGAGAGAGAGTGAGAGAGATTGTGTGCGAGAGAGCGAGCGCGGCATTTCTCATGCGAGCTTTTATTTTGCGTGCTCCGCACTTGACGCTGTGGAAAGGATTTTTGACAATAAACAGACGCATTTTTTTGAATGCCCCACCCCCTCCCATACGCCCCCTCCCCCTCCCCCGCCCACACAGCAGCAGCAGCAGCCCGCCGCCCCGTTTAAAAATAACTCCTTGTTGGAAATTCCATAGAAATCGTGCATATTGAAAAATGTATGTACAAATATTGATGTTTTCTTTTTCACTTGCGTGCTAATTTTAAAAATTATACCAAGCACACACACACACACGTATTTTTGGCAAGGCAAGTCTAAACAGAGACGCGCCACGCCTCGCCCCACGCCCCCTCGCCCCGCCTCGCCCCTCGGCCTAGTCCCAAGTTAATTTAAATGCAACTTACGCGCAAGTCTGGCAAATTGTTATGTACTCTATGCCCGGTTTTGTGTGGCATTTATAAAAATATGCGATATTTTATTTTATGAAAAAAAATACACACGCCTCGCCCCTCGCAACTCGCAGCCCTCCCCCCCCTCTCCCCCTCTCCACCCTTGCTTCCATTTCCAAATGCAGCAACAGATGCTCGAACAGATTTCCTTTCTTTTAGTTGAAGGAGATCCGCAGTCAAAGCAACAACAACACACACACACACACACACATTCAACACCCAACACACACACACACAACACACACACTCTACACACACACACACACACACAGTGCGGCCAAGACGGCGTACCGAAATACTTATAACAAAAACAAAGAAAACCAAAAATAATACGTAAAATTGCTTTAATTTTAAAATATATTTCAGTGTATGCGCCTGTATCTCTGTCCGTGTGTGTGTGTGTCTGTGTGTGTGTGTGTGTCTGTGTGTGTGCGTGCACGCGTCGGCCTTTCGATTTATTTCGAGCGATCGGCCAGAATTAAGAGCTTTATTAGCGCATCGGCCGAGCAATCAAACGCGTCGCATTCGATAAATTCGGCTAAAAGGAATTGTTCGCCATTTCGTATGCAAGTCGTGTGTGCAGCTCCTTTAAGCCTCGTTTATGGCAGTTATCGGTTTTGTTAGTTATCGAAACGCGTTCGGCGATAACTTTTTGTTGTTGTTGTTGTTGCTTTAAGCGTGTGTTGTATACTTTGCTTTGGCTGGGAATATTTGCATAGCGAAGAGCTGCGCTCAGCTCTGCTGTATTGATCGATAGGCACATTGTTATCGATAACATGTGTAAAATGTTCCATCTCCAACTAAATATATATGGGTTGCTATGTGTCGATCATGTATAGCGATCTTTTAATGAAGCCTTAGGATCAGTTGACGTCTTAACGCAACTATATACTCGATATGCATCCGTCGATAACAACAACTGCTGTCGTGTTTAGATGTTTATCGATAACATTCTTAGAAAAGCTCGCTCGATATGCTTATATCGATAGGTTTAACAGTATTTCTTATTGATATGCATATATCGATATCTTAAGCAATATTTATTTTCGATGTGTGTATATCGATATCTTAAATATTATTGGTTATCGATATGTTTATATCGAGATCTTTGACAATACATGTTATCGATATGCCTATTTCGATAACTTTAACAGTATTTGTTATCGATATGCTTATCCCGATATCTTTAACAGTATCCGTTATCGATCATGCGGCTTTTTAACTCTTTGTCGATATCGATAACACATGGGAAATGCCTAAATGGGCGTTTGTACTGGAAAACAAAAGCTTCAATCAGCTTGATTGAAGGTCGGGTGACTGATTGATTATTTAAACATTTGTTGTTGCTGTATAAATTTGTGTAAATTTCTATATTTATAGCCGGGCTTCTATTTAAAGCGTGCTGGAAATAGTAATTGATTATTAAATGGCGCTGATAATGTGCGCTGCTTCTCATAATCTCATTAGGGATTTCTTTCTCATTTTTGTGTTGTTGTGTGCTCATTTTATGCAGATATTATTTTACTTGTAGGTTGTCAGGGTTTTCTTTCCTTTCCTTTCCTTTCCTTTATTTTTATTTGATTTATTTTGCCAGCTTCTTCAGCCTGAAGCTCTGCGGATTTATTCAATCATTTCGCGTTTGGGCTTGTGTTTTGGCTTTGCGACTCAGACTCCGAGTCAAGTCGCAAATCCTTTGTACAAACACACACAAACACAAACACAAACAACAAACACGCACACACGCGCAGAAAGAAAACGCATTTCGTATGAAAATCCCATTAAAACGCCTTTAAAAACGCTTAACTTCCAAAAGCTTAGCTAACACGCCCTTGTGGGCGGGCTGCGAGGCGGGTGGGCGTGGTCTTGTCTTTGCCACCTGCATTTGCAATTGTTCGCTTTTGGGACTTTGAAATTTGTTTCATTTTTCGTAAAGGTGCTTCTGGCCGCGTTCTGCGGAATTGTTGGTTATTTATTTTGGGTTACCTCTAAAATTAAAATGGCTCAAAAACACAAGACCAACACACACACACACACGCGACGCCAACAACAACAATAACAACAACAAAGCAAGAGCGAAACAAACGAACAAAAAAGCGTTTTTTATAGAACATTTATTTATAATTATACATTCTCGTTGTATATGCGATTTTCTGCGCCAGTAAAGTGAAGTGTAGGAAATATCGTGCACAGACATATTTTCATTTCGATCCCATTCAATCCGCAGTCGGATTCGTATCGATCCTCGTTCAATTGCCCGACACGCGTTCAATTCAATGCAAATCAATTATAATAAATACAAATATTGTGAATAAAATACAAAATTAAATTGCAATTTTGAATTTGTTTTAAGCGAATTTCGCGCCGAAGGACGCGTATTTCCGGCTCTCTCTCTCTCCTCGTCAGCTGTCTCTTTCGCGCGCCCTCTCTCCCCCCCTCTCTCACTCTCCTTCGCACGCCCAGTTAAGTGTTTAAATTGCCCAAATAGTAATTACCCACAATGTGCCCAAAAAGAGTGAATCAAATAAATTTCCCAATTTATGCTCAAGTGCTTTCAAGTGGGATCAAAATAAGAAGAAGAAAAAGAAAGGGCAAAGCAAAAGCAACGCCATTTTTCTCGTGTGTTGAAAAGTGAAATTCTGTCAAAGCAATAAAATTTCCCAAAATAAAAGTCGAAACATCTGTTCTTTGTTGTTTGTTAACTTACGAAAATCTCGCAAACGTCTACAAAAACAACAACAGCAACAAATTTGTGCCTAGCAGAATGTTAAACAACATGTTGCTGCGTACAACAGCAGCAGAAATGTTGCCAACGCATGTTGCTGGCCGTCAGATGGCGCGCGGCATTATCGTTGCGCACAGGTGGCGCCAAAAACACACGATCAACAGCGCGTTATGAAAACAAGATGGCGCCACGCACACAGCCGCAAAATATTGTAAGCAATTTTTTTTTTTAAGAATTCTTTGTTAATAATTGAAGTTTTTATTGAATATATATGCATAAAATGATGCAGATCAGTATATAAACAAAATTAAATACATTTGCTGAGAGCAGCAGCGTCTAAAATACGATCAGTCGCGCATTACAAACGTTAGATGGCGCCACGCATACTGTTCCCAAATACTTGAAGAATGATTTAAAAGTCAATTTTTAACTTAAAAATCAATGTAATTAACATTTTTAAAAAATAAATTTTGTAGATCAATATATATGTACAAGAAATTCATTAATCTTAGAAAAAGTCAGCTTGTTTTAATGTGTATTACTTTAGTTCGCGAACACGTTAAAGTTTTCTCAGTATATTTTCTGCATTGTTGTCTATCTATTATCTTCATTGTGCTCATCAACTAGCATGCCTGGGGGGCAAACGAGAGCTGTAAAGCTCCTTAGTTTCAATCCAAGTAATCCTTTAAGCCCCCACAATGTATCTCAACTGTGTATCTCTCTCTCTCTCTCTCACTCTCTCTCTGTGTCCCTGTGTGTTGTGATTGTGCAGCTGTCGTCTATTACGATACGTGTTTTAAGTGGTTTTACATTCAATGTGTGAAAGCTCTGACAATTCAAGTGTGTTTGCACACACTACACACCTACGCACACACACACACCTACGCACTCATTGGCAGGGTATACAGCATGTGGCTTGAACAGGCCTTAATGGACTCTTATGCAGGCAGATTTCTGATCGATTACTGTCTGACGAGCTATTTTTTTTATATAAAGGTGTTATAGTTTATGGGGATATGGATATATATATATATATACAAAGGTAGATTTCTGATCGATTGCTGCCTAACGAGTTACTTTTTATATAAAGTAGCTACAGTTTTATAAGACTTGGGATAGACAGACACACTGGGCTAAAACTGACTTGACTATTGATGCTGATGCGGCACATATATAGATATATATGTCTATATATACGTGCCCCGTTGGCTGTCTTCTTCTCAACTCGCTTTTACTTCCATTTAAAACTGAAAGTGTATTTGCGAAACGGCTTTTGCAAGACGAACTCTTTGCTGCGTTCTCTCAACAAGTGCTCGGGGTCAGGCTTAGGCTTAGGCTGTGTGAGGCAAGGCTTAATTGAGAGGCGCGGGCGCGGGCGGGTTGTGGGGCAGCAGCAGCAGCAGCAGCAGTAAGTGGGCTTAGGGACGTGTCTGTCATACCAAAACGCATGTGCTAAGCATTTCCGTTTCCGTTGAAATTTAATACGCGTAGGCTCCACTTGCTGCGCTCCAAAATGCACGCAGCCAGGCAGGCAGGCAGACATGTGTGCCGCTCCTAGGCGCAGTTATTGTACTTATATATATATATATACATATAGTATACTATAGCATATATATATATGTATGTTTGTATATATGCATATATGTATCTGACTTTTTTCTATGAGCGCAGGCTGTGTCCCCTTTTTTTTGGCACTAGCCGCGCGGCGCATATTTCTTTTTAATACCCATTTAAAATGCCTAAAAAGAGTATATTAGCTTGGTGCAAATGTATGTAGCAGGTGAAACGTAGCAGCTTCAAACCCAAAAGGCATATATATTCATCGTCAGCTTCAAAGGTCGAGTCGATTTAGTCATGTCCGTCTGTCTGTCTGTCCGTCCGTCTGCCTGTCTGTTTACCTGTCTGTCTGTCTGTCTTTCCGTCCATGCGTCCCTCCCTCCTTCCGTCTGACCGCCTGTCCGCTCGTCCGTCCTTGCGTTGCGTGCTTCCTTCCGTCCGTCCTTCTGTCCGTCCGTTTGTCCTTCCGTCCGTTGTCCTTCCTTCCGTCCGTCCGTCCTTCCCTTCTTCCGTCCGTTCATTCTTTCTTGCTTCCTTCCGTCCGTTCGCTCGTCTTTCCGTTCGTCCGTTTTTCCGTTCTTTCGTCCTTTCTTCCGTTCTTCCGTCCGTCCGTAGGTCCTTCCTTCCGTCCGTCCTTCCTTCCGTCCTCACTTCTGTCCGTACTTCCGTCTGACCGTCCGTTCTTCTGTCCGACTGTCCACCCGACCTTTCATCCTTCCGTTCTTTCTTGAAATATTTAATTTAATTTTTGTTTCTGATCATCGATAGCTTGCAATCGATAAATATCGTTATCAAAACAGGATTTTAAGAACATATCTCTTAGACTTTAAGAGCTATAATTATTAAATTTGAGATGTTGCTTATAGTATACAGAAATATAAGGCTTACAGATAAGGTATATCTGAATTTTTTGAGGAGCGCGAACTTACTTTACTGCGATCTGCACTTGGTTTTGCTAGAAGAAGTTTTAGGGTATACCCCAGTCAAACACGCCCGACAAGAGCACTTTACTTGTTTATTTTTTTATTGTTGCAAACTTCGTGCAATGTTTTCAGCTTGTTCTTATTTTGATTTTTTTTTTCTTATTGTTTTTATTATTATTTTACTTATTTTGTGTTTTTTTTTGTTTTATCATTTTCTTCTTATTTTTTAAAAAATTTTATTGTGCTTCTAGAAGCATTAACGACTCTTTCTAAATTGCAACAAAATGTTGTTGTTTATTTACGCAAATTTGTGTAGACTTTGGCCAAATGCCAGGAATTACGAAAAGCCCGCAAAACAAGACGCCATTTTTCAAAAAAAAAGAAAAGAAAATAACAAAAAAATCTCAAAATGCCAGCCGACAAAAAAACCGAACCCCAACAACAACAGCAACAACAACAACACAGGCGAACAAAAGTGAGGCACGAGTTTATCATGGAAAATATTTACAAGAATATTTGTTAACTTATTCATTAATTGCGGCACCCCCAACCAGCCAATATGATTTAAGTGCAGGGGGAGGAAGGGGGGCAGGCTGTCTTGTCACCCCATTGAATTCGACATTTCCATTTCCATTTCCATTTCAGTTTTTTCTTCGCTTCCCTCTGTCATAGGTGGGCGTATTCGGTCTGAAAAGTTGTTTGTCCCGTGTGCGACGTATAGGGCATGTCATAAAAATCATGTGAAAAGCGCCACAAGAAGACGCACAAAAATGTCGAAAATCATGACATACCACGGGCGAGGGGGCGTCGAGGGGCACACACGAGCGGCGAGTGGGCGAGTAAGGTGAGGAGAAGTGGGAGAAAAATTGTAGAATTTATTATAGACAACTGTGCTGCCTGAATTTTCGGTTACGTTTGTTTTGTTTTTGGCCCCAGCTCTGTCATCTGCACTCTCCCTCTCGCTCCCACTCTATCTTCCTCTCTCTCTTTCACTCACTCTTCTTCTCCCTGTCTCTCTCTTTCACTCTCGCTTGTATTGTGCTGCGGCGCACAGCAAAAAAGGAAATACTGCAGACAATTTGGACCCGCTGGAAAAGCTCCTCTTGCGAGGTGCCATGGCAACACACACACACACACACACACGCACACACACAGATACACGGCTACAGCTACCGTTACAATGCATGCCCCCGCCCCCCTATATACACACTGATCAATGTGTGTGTGTGCGCATGTGTGTGTGTGTAGTTGTAGTTGTGGCTGTTGCTTGCTGTGGTTGCGGCTGGATGCGATTGCTGTCGCTGCTGCTGCTGAAGCATTTCATTAGCCACCCACACACAACACTATGCGCACACTCACATACACACACACACACTCACACACACGCACAACACTCATAACACTCATGCACACTCACTCTAGAAGCCTGGCATGTGGGCGTTGGGACCAGCACGCGCGCTCTGCTCTTGTGTATACCCTGTAAAAGAGTGGCTAAGCAGGGCATATGCTGTTGCAAGTCAGCTTGTTAACTAGAAGCAGGGCATAAGAAAGGGAATACACAAATTATAACAAGTCAGGTCAAGTCCTTGATATCCACTTTAAATCAATTTCGGAAACCAATTTGAAGTTAAGAGATATTAATACTCTACAAATTTAAGCAGAACTTTGGGTAGTTGGCTAGTCTGGAAGACAACAAGTTGAATTTAAAAGAATTTTGAGATTTTGTGGCCAAAAGAAATCCTTTCGCTTCAACTTAAACGTTCTCCTCTTTTATAGAACTCCACTTCGAACCAGCTTTAAAATGTAGCTAATTTTATTCTCCTATAATACCTAGCACACATTCCAGCCAATTACAGAGTATCAACGTGTCAGGCATATTTAAAAGTTTGTAGCGCTTGCATAAAACCGCAAAACATAAAATTCTGGGTCTTTGGGTTTCAAGCTCGGACTTGTTGCATCTGAAAGGCATTGGCCTGTGGTAGGCATCCGTGAGTCCGCGGGGAATCCATTTTGAAATGCGTGACGCAAATGGAGTATCTATAGATATGGCATGGCTATATTTAAACATTTGGCAGACCCTCAACTCAAGTGAATAACTATTGTTTTTGACATATTCTTCGATTTCAGTTACACGATTCGGCAGCAGAGCGAACGCGACGCAGCGCGACGCCAGATACGACGTCAATTGACAGCGACAACAACTGAATCCAAGCAGCATCGGGCAGGATATAATACTTATAAAACCTTGAAGTACACACACACACATAATCACACTCACACACACACACACTCCAGTGGCTTAAGAGCATTCATTTTGCCATATGCAACAAATAATACAAATATACAGATATATAGATATAAACAGATATATATACCTAGTTATATATGGCTGTAATTAACATGTTAACTGGCACTGGGAACGTTGGACTATATCTTTTTTGGACTCTTTGATGTTGCTCAAACAGCGGCATTTGGCAGGTAAGCAGCTTTTTAGAGTGTTCAAATGTATACATGACCTTAATTACTGCTTTAATTACTTCGAATTACTTCCAATTACTTAATTAGTTGCATTATTTATGCATACTATTGCTTTAATTGCGATTAATTAGATGAAATTACTTCATTTATAGCATTATTTAGACATACCTTATAGTTATATGACTTTAATTACTTATAATTACTTGAAATTACTTAGTTAATTGCATTTTTTATGTTCAGCTCTTAAATTTACACAGTTAATTACTTTTTTACGTAAAAAAAATTAATAATTACGCGAGTAATTTAAATTATGTAATCTTAAAACTAATTAATTACTGGATATTTGAATGAAAAGCCATTCAATTACTTAAAGTAATTGAAATGGAGAATATTATGACTATTGCTGAAGTTATTATGAGTAAAAGTAATTAATTACTTAATAATTAAACTAGTAATTGAAAAACTTTAAGTAATTGATATCAAGAATTTTAAAATAATTGCTGAAGCAGCTAAAATTATGTTGATGAGTGAAAAATTAACAATTAATTAATTACTTAATGTTTTAACCAATAGTAAATAGATAATTAGTATATGAATATATGAAAGCAGATGTTAATTGAGAGTGAAAAGTGAGAATGTGGCCAATTACTTAAGTAGCTCATAGAGAGTCATAGTAAAGTTAATTAATTAGTGGACTATTAATTAACTAATTAACAAAACGTATAAAATGCATAGTTAATATTGTATGTACATTCAATGTAATTAATTGCTCTGCAAATTAAGATTAGATCAAATTAAGCACAAAGTTCAGTCCAAAATTGAGCTAAACCAAAATTCCAAACTGTTTCCATTGTCAAGAATATAAAACTCTTTATTGGCCAGTTACACAGTTGGTCAAGTGTCCACTGAACAGGCCGACACGCACAGTACACATGTGTGTGTGTCTGTGTGTTTGTGTGTGTGTGTGTGTACATTCATGCCAGCAGCATTCGAGACCTACAACAACAGCTGAGCATGTATTGTGCTCTGAATTATATACACATATAACACATACATATGCGTGCGTATACATAATGTATACACACACTCGCACACACACACACACTCGCACACACATAGTCAATGTTGCCTTTGGTATTTCTTGGCGTTCAATTAACGTAAAACATTTGCCAAGAATTTTCTTGAGTCTTTTTTGGCTCGCCTCGCATATTCTAGCCTGCGTTGGCAACAGTGTGGAAAAGCGTGGCATAAAGAAAATGCTGCGAAATATAAAGCTTATTCGTATTACACTAATCAACACACACACTCAGGCACACGCATTAATTAACATTTAGAGAAGTCAACTTTAATGAGCTCAACGAGAGTTCAACGCACGTTTGGCTCCTGGACAGGTTTTCACTTTTATTTCATCATTTCTTTCAATCGAAATTGTGTGTAAAGCTGCCTTAGCTTTTCCATTTTCCTCTACTAATTTCCCTATTATTCTTTTTACTTTAATTTATTTCATGCTCGTTTTGCATTCTGCGAATCGAAAGGGAGGCGGCTAACGAATGTGCGTCATGCAAAACAATTTCAATCATTATTGAACGTCATTGCTGGCAATTTTTGAAATGTATCTTTTTCATGGAAATTATCAAATATTCATGCGTGCGTGTGTGTGTGTGCTGTGTGTGTGTGTGATTGTATATCATCAGCAATTCAAGCACGCGTCTAATACACACACAGCACACACACACACACACACACAGCACACACACACACAGCACACACACACACAGCACACACACACACACACACATGCGTGCAACAAATTCGGGGGGGCTTTTGTGCGGCAGCTCCACACGCATTTCGTATGCTGACTTTACTGTACCGCGTGTTACCTGTAGCTGCCGAAAAAATCTCATCAAACGAATATTTTCAGCCTGTTTTTTATACACTAACAAAAGGTAGTCGAAAATTGTGATGCGATGTGTAACGAGAAGTCAAGAATATATATGCTTATATATAGCATATATATACTCTTATGTATACCCAGTTATACTCTTATATATATACTTTGTATATACTCTTATATATATATATATATATATACTACCAAAAGGTTTTCAATGTGTAAGGAGCTCTCAAGTATATATATGTATGTATAAGCTAGGTATATGAATATATATATATACTCTTATACAATATATACCTAGAACTCTTATAAATACCTAGTATTTATACTCTTATACCTAGTATATACATGTGACTAGTATATATGTACATTCTTTAACTGCACAACAAGTCATCATAGCCAGGTTTCTCTGTCGCTCTCTCTACATAAGGAAGTCTCTCAATTGTAAAGCCTTCCATTTCTGCAGTCTGTACTTCGCGTGCAGTCTTTCAGATCGTAACACTATATCATATAGCAGCAGCTGCGTACTTCTGCTCCATTCCGTTTGCAAGTGTATTAAATCTTCGGCTAAACGCAGCCTGCTGCGCTTTCATCTTGTTTTTTTACGCGCAATTATTGTGCGCGACGACCGCAATAAAAGAAAATTAAAGTTTTTCCCTTTCGGTTCAGCTTGTTGTTGTTCGTCTTCTTCTTCTTCTTGCGCTGTTCTTTCAATTTTCCTGCTGTCAGTCCGTGTCGCATCTTTTGGCTCGGCTCTTATGTGCCCCGCCCCGCCCGTCGCTTCCCTCCCTGCTGGCTGACATTTTGTGCATTTTGCATTTGGCCGAACGTTCTGCCATTTCATTTGCAGCGTCAAGTATTTTGGCCACGTTCCAAAATGTTTGTGTCGCCACAGACGTTCGCCCATCCAATGGGGCACTGCTCATGGGGACAGTTAGTGATTAAGCGTGAAAATATCAGACTCATCATCGTGCGGCCGCGGCAACAGCGCGGCCCAGTGCAACTAACCAAAGAGCTAACCAAGCGCCGAACAGCCCAAAAAGACTCGGCAGAATCTCTGATCAAAATGGCGACACTTTTTGCTTGTTTTTCTTTCATTCTTTTTTTTTCGTCTTTTTTCCTTTGGTATATAAGAAAACTGTTTTTCTTAGCTCGTTTGTTTTTCTAGCGATTTCTTTTGCCAGATTTTGCACATTCATTTTGTTTGCATGCAAATTAAAATAGTTGTTTCATGTTTGCATACTGTGTACTGTACCCAAAATGATATTCAACTAGCAAATGGTTCTGGCTTATTGGCAAGCTAAGAATGTGCACTTACATACAATTTATTGGCTGACGTATGTAAACATATCAGGAGACTTCAATTGTGCTTAACTGTCATGTTATTCGCAGCTTTATGTAAAGTAACAGCCTTTGTTAACAGCGCTTCTACTTCATTTATTAAAATAAAACTCATTTGCTTTAATTTAACCTAAGCTATTTGACTTTTATTGAAAGTTGTATTAACATTAACACGTTAACATTAACGTGTTACATAGCTGTTAACATTTCTACTCCTGTTAAATTAACAGAAACGGCTGCTCATCACGAATTGATCAATAAATCGCAAGAAAGTATGTCGAACACTGAGTGCATGCATTTGCATAGGTATATAGTACTACATAAGATCAAATTTACAGAATTTACAATTCGTATACAATGCACACATATACATATGTATTTCTTACAAAGATCGTGTGGCATTCTTTCGATTTCTGTGTATATATTTACTGTATTTGCCCATGTGTTGAGGCAAGGGAGCAACAAATTGTACAATTCACTGCATACAAAAAATGTTTATACGAAATGTCAGTACAACAAAACAATCTGCTGCTCTCCTGCGCTGCAGCTGTATGCGTAACATGTAAATACACATACGTCATGCATGAATGTCTGTGTGAGTGTGTGTGTGTTTGCGTTTTTCCTCTGGCAGCTGCGCAAATGGCGACGACAGACATCACCATGCTAGGGCCCTGGATGGGGAGAGGGGGCGTGCGCGGGGTTGCGACATGCCCGATTTTGCAACTGTACATGCGAGCATCCATGGGCAACGGTGTTTTTCGTAACGCATAACGGCAGCACCTGTCTTGGAGGCCAGCCAGACAGCCGAAGCGCTGCCCGAGCACAGAGCCGAACGAGTTGCAAAATATATTTTAATTGCGAAATGACAGCAAGAGCAACAAAAAAAAGAAAACAACAACAAAAATTTTGTTTTTCAAACTGAAAAAAATAAAAAAATACTGTAATTTAATCAGCAAGCAGAGCGCTTTGCTGCACAGGAGGAGGGGGCACACACATAGGCAGCAGGCAGGCAAATGAGTGACGTACACAGGCGAGACCAAAGCAGCGCCACGTAACGTTAACGACTCTTCACACAAAGGCAAAGGCGCGCGCTCGCTCGCACTCACTCACTCTTTCAACTATGAGGCGATCGCAGGCAGCGCAGTCGGCGCATTCGTCGCCGCAGCGCAGCGGCCACAGCGTTTGTCTATATTTAGACAGAAAATGCAAATGGCCGTACACGCACGCAATGCTCAGGATAGTGAAAGAAAGAGAGAGAGAGAGCGAGAGAGTGAGAGTGAGGTGAGTAGGTGAGTGAGTGAGAGTGAGTGAGAGTGAGTCACATGAATGTGCGCACACACACCTAGACAAAGCTTGGCAGCATTTTGCGCAGGCGCTTTTTGGCAGAGCGAGACAGGGAGAGAGAGTGAGTGAGCGAAAGTTATGTGTGTACAAATGTAAAGGCTGATCGCACGGCCGCCATTTTGTGTTAACTAACTATTGCTCGTGATTTTTGTGGCGTTCCGTTTTGGCACGCGGCTTTCGATCAATTTGTTGGTTCGTTGTACGTTTGGTTTGCTTTATAAATAAAAAGGATAATTTTTATAGATTTCGCTGTGTGTTTATTTGTTCACGTGTGTGTGAGTGTGCCTGGGTGTGCCTGAGTGTGTGTGTGTGTGTGTGTTTGCAACACAAAAATATCCATAACTAAATTTAACATTTGTTTTTGTTTTATATTTAACTTTGCCCGTGTTATTTTGGCCAACTTGTTGTTTCTGAATGAATG